CTTGTAAAAGTCTTTTTCAAACATTTTCGGTTTTAACATTTTATGATCACTATATTTTAGGAATTTCCAATTGGGTTAAAGACAATCTCTCCTCATTCATGAACCAACCCATTCATTCCCACCACACTAGATTTAAGAGTTATATTAAGCCTGAAACCCATAGATTAGAGAAATTTCATTTATCTCCCCAATATATAGACCCACAAGTTTACAATAAGTTACCACTCCGCATAAAAAATATTGATAGTAAAACACAGTTCAGATCCACCCTGAAGACCTGGTTAAAAACAAAAAATTGTTTTTCTATAGAATGTTATTTAAATAGGGACGTTAAGTTAGATTAATAATTTAGTAAGACATTTTTGTTATTTCTTAGTTTTAGTATATCCTGTATATGACTTTATGTCCTGTCAAAAAATGATGTAATGACATGTAGTAAATAAATAAATAAATAAATAAATAGCTTCTCTGACAGCTCGAGCTCCATCCGACAGCTGATGGATCAACGACGATCAAGCGGGCAGCGATGAAGTCAGGCTGCCGGAAAAGGAAGTTAATTTTTGGTGGAAACATCTGAGTTTTAAGTTCTAGAACATTCCATGGTCTCCATAGTAACGAAATCGGGTATAAATACAGCAGTCTACGGACCAGTCTTCAGTTGACAGTCAGTTAGTCACTCAGATAGCTGCTGCGGTGTATACCATTTGTCAGGCGCAAATAAAAACAATAATTAACTGTAATTCAATTTGTGTTTGTGAAAGGAAAATAAAAAGAAAAAAGGTCACTCCCAATTGTGTACTCATTTGAAATATTAATAAGGTAATTAGATAAGTAAGTAGGATAGAAATTATAATACACTTAAAGCATTTGTCAGGCCCCGGCAGACCGCTGGTGCTGCGGCTTAACACTAAACAAGCACGCACATTCGGTAGTTGTCTGGCACCTTTTTTAAGAGTGCTGCGACCGAATTAACACTTACACATAGTGGCTCTGTATAACTTAACCCTTTCCACTCAGATTAACGGGAGGCCCATTTACTCACCAGCTCCATTTAATTTTAGCCAAATTTGCACACTTCATTTATTTGCCAAAAAAACAAATACTGTCTTTATTTGTAGAATGCTGGTAATTTTTTTCCTAATTCTGTATGAACCAAAGATCATATTTAGGATATAGAAACCAGTATATATATTTAAAAAATTTATTATACATTACTCATAAAAAAAAAATTTTTTTTGGAGAAAATAAAAAAATTGGAATAACAAGATTTTTTACAATTTTTTTATAGAAATAAGAGTATAAAAGTGTTTTATTTACATTGTGTATGTCCTTATATATATATTGAAGTGATTTACATAGCTAAAAGACACAATTTTATGCGGAAAAAAAAATATATTGAAAAATATGAATTTTTGCTAAAAAAAAGTTTTTGTGAAAATATCAGTTTTTGTAGCGACTAATATCTTTTTAGGCAATATTAATTTTGCTGTTGCTTAGAAACCAAATATTTATGATGTAAAGAGAAAAAGTATTTTTTCTTCAAAACTGTGTTAGCTGAAAAACATAAATAAAACAAGAACTAGGCCTAAATATTTTATCTCGCTTGTACGCTACTCCGCTTCAATCACAAGCAAGAATAGGCCTAAAATAATAATAACATAAAATAAACACAAGTTATATAAGAATTTAAACAGTGTTTTTGTCAAAGAACTAGACATACCTCATTACATCTTATAGTTTTTCAGGGTATGGTAGCGTTCAAAGCACTGCCCTGGGTGAAGGCCTGGTTTTCTTGCACATGTAGCACAGAAATACACTGTTTCTCTTCTCTGTCCAGCTTTCCTGTTGCTGCAAACAGCACAGTCCTTGCTGTTGCTTTTTTCATTGGCATAAATAAAATGAGGTTTTTTATCTAGCCTATCTTCTTGGTCAGCTGAAGAAGGACGACCTCGCTGTGAATAAGATTTGTTACGTACACCAGAAACAAGTTCAGTAATCAGCATTTCCCTAAATCTCTTCGAATCAATGGGAGTTTTCCCCTTATTCTGTAAGTCCATGTTGTATAGCAGGAGGCTGTTGACGACACATACTTCCATAAGCCAGAACCACAGTTTTCTCCACCACACTTTAGATTTCCGAACAAACATGTAGGACGAAATGTAATGGTCGGCAGTGTCGACTCCTCCCATTCTCTCGTTGTAATCGCATACAACAACTGGTTTGGACACAATTTCATCTTCTTTTCTTCCCTTCTCTCTTCTTTTTACTAATTGCATTTCCGAGTTATGATACGAACTCATCATAATTACGTGTCTCTGGTCCCGCCACACCAACACCAAGACATTGTCTTTGTGACGGTAGGCTGCTGTCTCATGTTTCTTCAAAAGACCCTTTAGCCTTTTCTTATTTACATTACTGGGATTACCTTGACGATTTGAATTAACTGTACCAGTGAGATGCATTTTCATCTTTAGCAACTCTTGAGCTAATGACAAACTTGTATACAATCGGTCAGTATATATGTGGAAACCGCAATCTGGCCCACATACTTGCCTTACTCTTAGTGCCAACAGCAAAACAATTCTGGTAGTGAATTGCAGGTCAGGGTAAGGTAATATCTGCGATGTAGCTGAGCCATAGTATGGCTCAAACGTGAAAATGTATCCTGACCTGGCATCAGATACAACAAAAACCTTTAGACCCCATTTAATTGGTTTTTTGGGGTTGTATTGTTTGAAGTACACTTTTCCTTTGAACGAAATTGTACTTTCATCCATAGAAAGCTCATATGGAGGGACAAAGTATTCTGTAAACTTAGTCTGAAGGTAAGCAATTATATTCTTTAGCTTGTCCCCTCGTGATCGGGCTGGTTGGGTACCACCAGTACTCGAACAGTGTAAAGTCCAAAATATTTGAAAAAATCTGGTTCTTGAAAATACACGGCTAAAGAATGGCTGATTATAAAGCCAATCTTGTGCAAAGTAGTCTTGCAGCGAGGGTTTAGTATTGAGTCCCATGTTTAGAACCACTCCGATGAATGCTCGTATCTCCTCTAACGTTACATCCGTCCACGAGTGCCAGATTGAATTTTTTTGCAACGGCCTCTTATTAGAAATGACAACCTTAGCATGTTTATTTGTCTCAGTAACAATCGTTTCTAAAAGTTCATCTGTCATAAACAATTGAAAAAACTGTAATGGGCTATTAGGTTTGTAGCCTATTGGGGGTTTGTAGCCAGATTCCAAAGTGTAAGGGAAGTGGGGGAAATCTTGGTCAGTATTTGTGTAAGTCCTATAGTTATGATCTTCATTAGGCTTGTTCTTGGTTTGGATAGGCCTAGGCCGAGCCTTTTTACCCTGTGTGCTAAGACTAGACTTCTTTTTGGTTTTTGAGACTTTAGTTTTTCTCGATCCACGCAAATGTCTACCTGTTGTAAGTTTGGTTGATTGTGAAGAAGGTCCTGATTCAGTACAAACTGGGATAGAGCTAGGTCTCGGTCTGTCAAGTTTTAGTCTTTTTGATTGACTCAAAATATTGGAACAGCTTGGTTCAGTAATTACAGGTAATTCGGTAGGCCCACCGATACTTACATTATGTATTCCCGGTATTTCATCTAATGTGCCAAAGTTTACATCATCTTGTTGAAAAAATTGATCATCAATAGGCCTATGTTCAACAGGCAAATCGGTACTTACATTATGTATTCCAGGTATGTCATCTAATGTCCCAAAGTTAACATCATCTTGAAGATAAAATGGATCAATATGTTCAATCGGCAAATCGGGATCACTATTATTATCACCATCTTCATCACTATTTTCGTCGTCGTCTAATTCTGGATCGGTTGGATCTGAACTGCTATTTGATAATAAATCGTCTTCAAATAACAAACCAGCTATATCAGAATCACTTATATTACTTGTTCCATCAGCAATTTTGCGATTTAGCAACGAATCATCGCCGTCTTCATCCATTTTATGGGCTTATGTAACAAGAACTAACTAACTCAAATCATAACAGTTCAGTCAAACACGAAAATAAACAACTAACTGAAAATATCTGATTGTATGTAAACAATAATAAAAAGTAAAAGTAAAGCACGCAATTCGATAATAACACTCCAACTACATACGGCAGTAAACAAACCAAGCAACATTTAGTAAACAGCTGCCGTGCAGTCAGTCAGCTGCCGCTACAGACAGCAGTTCAGTTAACGAGTGAAGACGACTGACATAAGCTCTAAGATTTAATATTGAGCATTGAATATTTGTTCAAACGGTTCTGAAAAAATTCCCCAGATGGCAGCAGATGTCAAACATCAACCCTAGCGGCGAAATAAATAACTACGTATGTCCAAATAAAAGTACAGTACGTTGTCATAGTGACGGCGGGCCTGGCCCGACATTAGAGTTCGTGCGGCCATGACGCACGGCGGGGCTCCCCCGCCGCTTGAGCGGAAAGGGTTAACATTATATCTCACATTTCACACATTCTACAGGTAGGATAAAATCAGTCTTGTGGCAAAGAATCCATCCCTGAGAACCTTCATGAAAACAGATAAAAATACAAAATAAAATAGATACAGTTAAAAGAAATTCAGATTTAAGAGATGTTCATTGAGATGTTACAACATTTTTCTTGAAATTAAGCAATTAATTGTCAAGTACCGTTACAAGAGTTATTTTTGAACTAATAACAGTCATAATTTTCGAGGAATTGTCAAGTAACGGTATGATTCCTAAGATGTTATTTTAAAACTAAGAACAGTCAAAATTTTCGATAAGTTTAAAAGACTCAACTAGAAAGCTTCTAAACTAAAAAGAATCTAATTAATGGAAATAGTTACACAGGTTAATATAAAAAACACATCTTGTAAGTATTTTATCATTTTTCAGAAGCTTATTTTAATAGAAGGTTTATTAATATTTTCTACAAATGTTTCTGTTGAAAAAAGTTCAAACGACAATTCTCAATAATCTTCAAAAAACATGGAAGCCTACCTGAGTTTGCCAGGGTATGTGAGTGAGCATGACCACGCCCAAATGCAGATAATGGTAGCGTAATGCCTGTGCTGCAGTGCCTCCCAATTTCTGCAGAAAGGCAACCAGATGCTGCAGAGAACTGACACTCTGTGCCCGACACAACAGTGACTCTGCTATCCTGCAAGCTTGGTCACTCGGTAACTCCCTCATCAACTTCTCTGCCTCTCCCTCCTCACCTGTCTCTAGCAACTCCAGCACCAGTTGTCCAATCAGCTGTAACACAGACAACATGACACAACAGTGACTCTGCTATCCTGCAAGCTTGGTCACTCGGTAACTCCCTCATCAACTTCTCTGCCTCTCCCTCCTAACCTGCCTCTAGCAACTCCAGCACCAGTTGTCCAATCAGCTGTAACACAGACAACATGACACAACAGTGACTCTGCTATCCTGCATGCTTGGTCACTCGGCAAATCAACTTCTCTGCCTCTCCCTCCTAACCTGTCTCTAGCAACTCCAGCACCAGTTGTCCAATCAGCTGTAACACAGACAACATGACACAACAGTGACTCTGCTATCCTGCAAGCTTGGTCACTCGGTAACTCCCTCATCAACTTCTCTGCCTTTCCCTCCTAACCTGCCTCTAGCAACTCCAGCACCAGTTGTCCAATCAGCTGTAACACAGACAACATGACACAACAGTGACTCTGCTATCCTGCAAGCTTGGTCACTCGGTAACTCCCTCATCAACTTCTCTGCCTCTCCCTCCTAACCTGCCTCTAGCAACTCCAGCACCAGTTGTCCAATCAGCTGTAACACAGACAACATGACACAACAGTGACTCTGCTATCCTGCATGCTTGGTCACTCGGCAAATCAACTTCTCTGCCTCTCCCTCCTAACCTGCCTTTAGCAACTCCAGCACCAGTTGTCCAATCAGCTGTAACACAGAGAACATGAAACAACAGTGACTCTAATATCCTGCAAGCTTGGTCACTCGGTAACTCCCTCATCAACTTCTCTGCCTCTCCCTCCTAACCTGCATCTAGCAACTCCAGCACCAGTTGTCCAATCAGCTGTAACACAGAGAACACGACACAACAGTGACTCTGCTATCCTGCAAGCTTGGTCACTCGGTAACTCACTCATCAACTTCTCTGCCTCTCTCTCCTAACCTGTCTTTAGCAACACCAGCACCAGTTGTCCAATCAGCTGTAACACAGAGAACACGACACAACAGTGACTCTAATATCCTGCAAGCTTGGTCACTCGGTAACTCCCTCATCAACTTCTCTGCCTCTCCCTCCTAACCTGCATCTAGCAACTCCAGCACCAGTTGTCCAATCAGCTGTAACACAGAGAACACGACACAACAGTGACTCTGCTATCCTGCAAGCTTGGTCACTCGGCAACTCACTCATCAACTTCTCTGCCTCTCTCTCCTAACCTGTCTTTAGCAACACCAGCACCAGTTGTCCAATCAGCTGTAACACAGAGAACATGACACAACAGTGACTCTGCTATCCTGCAAGCTTGATCACTTGGCAACTCCCTCATCAACTTCTCTGCCTCTCCCTCCTAACCTGCCACTAGCAACTCCAGCACCAGTTGTCCAATCAGCTGTAACACAGAGAACATGAAACAACAGTGACGCTGCTATCCTGCAAGCTTGATCGCTCAGCAACTCCCTCATCAACTTCTCTGCCTCTCCCTCCTAACCTGCCTCTAGCAACTCCAGCACCAGTTGTCCAATCAGCTGTAACACAGAGAACATGAAACAACAGTGACTCTGCTATCCTGCAAGCTTGATCGCTCAGCAACTCTCTCATCAACTTCTCTGCCTCTCCCTCCTAACCTGCCTCTAGCAACTCCAGCACCAGTTGTCCATTTAGCTGTAACACATGTAACACAGAGAACATGACTAAATAGTGACTCTGCCATTCTTCAGATATAATGGTAGCGTAATAACTGTGCTGCAGTGCCTCCCAATTTCTGCAGAAAGGTAACCAGATGCTGCAGAGAACTGACACTCTGTGCCCGACACAACAGTGACTCTGCTATCCTGCAAGCTTGGTCACTCCGCAACTCCCTCATCAACTTCTCTGCCTCTCCCTCCTAACCTGTCTCTAGCAACTCCAGCACCAGTTGTCCAATCAGCTGTAACACAGAGAACATGACACAACAGTGACTCTGCTATCCTGTAAGCTTGATCACTCGGCAACTCCCTCATCAACTTCTCTGCCTCTCCCTCCTAACCTGCCACTAGCAACTCCAGCACCAGTTGTCCAATCAGCTGTAACAAAGACAACATGACACAACAGTGACTCTGCCATCCTGCAGATATAATGGTAGCGTAATAACTGTGCTGCAGTGCCTCCCAATTTCTGCAGAAAGGTAACCAGATGCTGCAGAGAACTGACACTCTGTGCCCGACACAACAGTGACTCTGCTATCCTGCAAGCTTGGTCACTCCGCAACTCCCTCATCAACTTCTCTGCCTCTCCCTCCTAACCTGCCACTAGCAACTCCAGCACCAGTTGTCCAATCAGCTGTAACACAGACAACATGACACAACAGTGACTCTGCCATCCTGCAAGCTTGATCACTCGGCAACTCCCTCATCAACTTCTCTGCCTCTCCCTCCTAACCTGCCTCTAGCAACTCCAGCACCAGTTGTCCAATCAGCTGTAACACAGACAACATGACACAACAGTGACTCTGCTATCCTGCATGCTTGGTCACTCGGCAAATCAACTTCTCTGCCTCTCCCTCCTAACCTGTCTCTAGCAACTCCAGCACCAGTTGTCCAATCAGCTGTAACACAGACAACATGACACAACAGTGACTCTGCTATCCTGCAAGCTTGGTCACTCGGTAACTCCCTCATCAACTTATCTGCCTCTCCCTCCTAACCTGCCACTAGCAACTCCAGCACCAGTTGTCCAATCAGCTGTAACACAGACAACATGACACAACAGTGACTCTGCTATCCTGCAAGCTTGGTCACTCGGCAACTCCCTCATCAACTTCTCTGCCTCTCCCTCCTAACCTGCCTCTAGCAACTCCAGCACCAGTTGTCCAATCAGCTGTAACACAGAGAACATGAAACAACAGTGACTCTGCTATTCTGCTAGCTTGGTCACTCGGCAACTTCCTTTATCAACTTCTTTGCCTCTCAATATATTTTTTACAATTGGCTTTCCTTCCTGGCAAAACTTTTTCAACGGCTGCTGACTTGAGGCAATGGACCCTCGCATGTCAATAAAGTTAAAGTTTGACAGCAACCCCATGTCACGATTTTACAAAATTACGCCAGAAGTTAATCAATTACAAAATACTGGATGATTAAATACATTTGCGACGTGGCAAGAGAAGGAATCAAAATTAGCTTGCCTATAAGTAGACCCCCGTCGAAGTAAGAATATAAATGCTTTCTGTAGAAACAGTTATTATTATCAAATACAAGAAAAAAACAGATTTAATCTGCCTCATAACTTCACTGTATCTATCGCAGTTACTAAATCAATAAATAGAATTGCCTTCGTCAATCAGCTCATTGTAGTATTTACATTGTTACGGCCATTTCAGCATCTTCGTTCCATCATCAGACGTTCAGCCTTAGTGGCGTCGTTAATATACAAAAACACAAACTGTCACAAGCGACGTACACATTATATAAACATAAATTGGGGATTTTAAAGAGATTCTGGATAACCAACCAAAAATGTGCAGCAAAACAGGTGAAGAATACTTGCATGTAGTGCCGAATCAATAATGCCAAACCAACACCTCCCCAAATGGCTCCTCTACCAGAATCTCGAGTCTCGGAATCCAAACACCCTTTTTTCTTTACCGGTGTTGATAATTTTGGATCAATGGAGGTGACTGTTGGAAGACGTCACGAAAAATGCTACGGCATAATCTTCAATTGCCTATCTACACGCGCCATACACCTAGAAGTAGCTCACTCGTTGAATATGGCTCCTCAGCGATTTATCGTTCGGAGACCTTGTCCATCCGAGATGTATTCTGACGACAGAAGTAATTTTGTGGCCGCAGAAAAAGAGCTACGTAACGCGGTTAAGACAATCAACCATGTTCAAATCCAACGCACCGTCTCAAAAAACGGAATCATATGGCACTTCATCCCTCCTCATGCGCCCCACATGGGAGGTTGCTGGGAGCATCTCATCAGATCCGTGAAAACTGCTTTAAGGACTGTTATGCAATCACAGTACCCTCGTGATGAAGAGTTAGTGACTCTGCTAGTCAGGATAGAATTTATCCTAAACAGTCGACCTCTTACTCACTTTACACTGTTTCATTTTAACAAATATTGAGTATTTACAATTTTAAACCAAACTTGACTCGAAACTGCCAAAGAAATACTCGAGTTTTAAGGCCGTACTCGACTGGAACTGAAAATCTTGAGTACTCGCACATCTCTACTTTTGATATTTGGCTTGTTTCTGTGTAAAAATACATTGTCATCTGTTTTGAAAGGAATTAGTTGATACAATGCAGGAACTTACCAGTAGAGAGTGTGAGGAGTGCTCTGCTTGTATCATGTTCCTTTGCTGAAACCACTGCAGGCCGAGATGTACTTGGTGGCTGTTGAGAAGCTCCTCAAGCACGGCCCACACATCTTCCAAGCAACTCAACGCACACACTTTCCTCACCTACACACACATGGACACTGTCGCTAAATAGTTCCAAATATTAACACTGAAATGACAAAAACTCACAATGTTTTGATATATCTTATCTTCATTTCACTTGTTGAAAAAATCAAATCTATATTTTCAGTAAATGTTTCTGTAACCAAGTATAAATGTTTAATTAATTACATTTATTAACATCATATTTATTAACAAAGAATATTATGAACACCACCACTGGTAGAAAACAATAATTTTGTTTTGTTTCATTTGTGTTTATATTCTCTTATTCACATACGGGTAATATCTATTCCAAGATTGTACAGTTTTGTTTTCACGCAGAGGTAAATGATTTGATTCGGAATATGATACCAAATTCTTACTTTTATGCAATATAATAAAATGTAGGTATAGGTCGGCCGCTTAGAAAGCGACCTGTGCGCTAATGCTAACCAATGCTAGAGGAGGTCGCTTTCTAAGTGGCCGAACTAAAGTTTTGTTTTTCCTTCAAAGCGTGGTTTTAGCGATTTTTGATCAAATTCAATTTCAAAGAATTTAACGCAAGCCTGTAGTCTTACTATGATGCAATAAACAAAATACAGTAAATGTTTGCCAGGCTTTAACCTCTTAGCTTAACCAAGAACCTTAAACATGAGGCTTAGAAGTTAGTACTTGATAAAAAAATTAAAAGTTGTGTTGGCCAGCTGTATCTCTAAAACATTGACAGCCTAATGGTACAAAACCATTTCTAGTGTACACATTAATATTTACTGTCCCCACAACTTAACTATCATTGTTATTAGTCGTTATCAACGTAAAGAAATTGCAGCATGTAATAGGTGCCTTAACCCTTCAAGACGGTGCTACTAGTGCAGTTTATCATGACATTTTCCAGCACAGAAGCCCAGTTCCGCTTGCCCACTGCCGTTTGATTAATTCGTAAAATCCAACTTGATAGCACTAGTTGTTAAAAAATATCAAAGACAAGACTTAAAAGACAATTAATAAACTGATCTGTATTTAACAAAGGGAATCAATCAATATTTTAAATAAAGAATAAAACATATGTTGTAGGTATCAATGAATTATTCAGAAAGACCATGGCAGGCAATATATTATAACATCTTCTCCCCTCCAAGAGAACTAAGCATTAGAAAATTTGATTTCATTTTCTTTTCTTTTTTTTTGTAGCATTAGTCATTTTTGGTCAAGGTTTGCGAAGGCTAAATTTGGTACTCCCTAGTTACCATACCATAATACTATTATTATTAGTGATTTTCACTTTGAGCTTACGTTTTCTACTCCGTTGTTTGATTTCTTTGAATATTATTTCAGAATACTTCTTAATCCTCTGGTTATCACTGCCGAGTGGCTCCACAAAAGTTTTCCGTTTTTCTAAGCTAGAAACAACTGACTCGATCATTTTCACTTCTAGTGGCTGGTCATCAACCGATTTAACCTTCTTCATATTTAGCTCTTTCTTTTTACCCTTCTCGGAGAATGTGGACTTGAACTGTTTGTGTTCCGTCTCCTCAAAGGCGTGTTTCTTCTCATTCTTCATCTTGTGTTTGGGATCAAGGAGTGATTGCCGTTTGTCTGCCTCCATATTGGCTCGCATTTCCATTGGGACAAGACCAATTATGCATTTGAGCTCATTGATCTCCTGCTCGTGCCGCCACCAGAGTTTCTCAATCTCTAGTTGTTGAGAATGTCTCATTGCCTCCACAGCTGAGTTTGATTCTGAATGGGGCTGGACAACTCCAGGCGGGGGAACTAACGCTGGTGTACTGATCACACTGGCCATCCGAGGAGGGTTGGGTAGTGACTTGCGGGTCGTGGGCCTCAATGGGAACTTGGTCACAGTGTCTACAATCATCGAGTCGTCTAAATCAGTCTCTTCACACCTCTCAACACCAGTGGCTGCCGAGTCCTTAATCACATTCATGCTGAGGCTCTTAGAGATGTTCTAACTTCTGATCTCCATAGCCTTCTTCTGTGAAAAGTCACTTTCTGTTACCACCATGATTGTTAAAGGACGGTCTTTCTCACTCGACAACCGTCGGAAATGTCGACTCACCTCGTCCAGCAAATCCGATTTCTGCTTCGACAGCCTATTGTCCTCAAACTTTGTCACAGTTCTAGACCTTCTGTGCAATTTAGCTGGAATTCCATTACTTCTGCTCGTATCACTTTTTGTGGACTTTTTACTGTCGCTTGACTTGTCCTGGTTGATGATCAAAAGAGGTGATTCTTCTGTAGAATTGTCTGATTTGACCGCATTCGATTCCTGCCCTTTTTCATTTTCAGTCAATTTTAAACTCTTCAAGGCATTGTCATGACTTGGAGGGTACTTGAAATAATCTATTTTCCGTAACAATCCGGTTTCGTAATGATCTTCGACCTTTTAGCGAATTTCCCATATGGGGAATAAGCTATTACCGTAGTACTCATGGTAAGACCTGGACGCGGGACCGATTTTTTTTTAGTTTTGAGGTCCCTAGAGGCCAAAAACACCATCCGTTCAGATTCATATATATATATATATATATATTTATATATATATGTGTCCGTCAGCACGATAGCTCGAGCAAAAATGATCCGATTTTGATGAAATTTGGTACAAATGTGTAAACGTAAACGTACGTTTATTCGAACGAGTTCGCGATCCAGCATGATCAGACCATGGGAACGGGGTTAACGGGGGGTTTTATGGGGTAAAAATAGGTTTTTCCCATTTTTGACCCAAAAAACATAAAATTTAGCAATTTCTTTCCAAACCATTTTGTAGAGCTTAAAAAAACAAATAATTTAGTATATTGAAGCGTTATTATGCGCCTAATGGTTACGGAGAAAATTCCAAAAAATTGTAAATTTAAAATTCCCATGTTATTCTTATGGAGAATAAGTAAACTGTTGTAGTTTGCTTGTTTGTGAACATATTTTGATCAAATTTGGAAAATGTTTTTATTTCTTACTAACTATTCACATTTTACAAAACAAACAGTTTTACCCTCCCTGATGCAGCAAACCTAAGTACTTGTTAAACTAATTCTATTTAAATCGGGAATAAATGCTATATTTTTAAGAATTTTAAGTAGACATTTCAGTGTAAATCCAATCAGTCAAATGGAAATTCGCTTAGTCTGCAGGTTTGCTGCGGCGGGGGTATTTTGTTCTTTCTTCTAGTATATCAATTGCTCGTTTCGTTTCAAATGAACCGACTTTGAATTGGTCAAGAGTGGTTTCTCCATAGTTTTCGTTTTGATAGCATTCTTTTACCATATTATGTAGTTTGTCATTGTTAAATGTTGTCAAATTAAAATTTCCATCTATTCGACCATCAAACTTGGCACACTTTCCATGCATAGTCCAACCTAGATAACTCCATGACAGGATAGGAGAATTGGTAGGTCCTTCTAAGACTTTTCTTGTTAAAATAAGAGCTGCATTGTCTTGTCCGATCAAGATAGAAGGTTTGGAATGTGCTGAAGGAAGGGGGGCTGGTCAATTGAGTTTAGATGAAACCAATTCTGTCTAAGTTTTACTGTGTCAAAATTTTGTGATAAGTGGTAAATCTAGTGGTGACTGTATCCGGACGTTATCAAGGGTGAATACTTCATCCTCGTAAAGTCCTTTTATTTTTAGGCTAACTTTACGAGAGGTAGATTCAAAGTGACATGTTGAGTTTGACCAACAGGTAGTAAGGGGCTCTATATCTCCCTCCACTCCTAACTTGTTGGCTGTGGTAGAGTCAACAAATGATATTGTTGAACCTTCATCCAAAAGTGCAAAGGTATCAATTTGGCCCTTAGGCCCATAAAGAGTAACGGGTCCGGGACATGCCTTAAGCAAAACTTTATTTGTTGTATTTTGTTCTGTGTGTTTACCGGTTATTTCTTTTGTTTTGACAATAGAATAGTCAGAGTCTTTATTTTCGTGAGAGGAAGAATAGACAGGTTTTTTTTTGGTGTACAAAGGTTTTTCAGGTGTAGTATCTGTGTGTAGTAAGCGACTGTGGAATTGTTTACAGTTATTAATACCACAAGCTTTCTTTATTTTACAGAACTTTGTTGTGTGTTGGCGAAAACAGTAGAAACACAACATACTTTCTGCAACCTTCTTCCATCTCTCTGCAACACTGGCTTTCCTGAAAGTTTTACACTGAGCACTTTCGTGCTTTTCGTTGCAAAATATACAACTATTTGGTCTCCTAGTTGTATAGTTTGTTAATACTAACTTAGTATCATACTTCTTACGTGTTAAAGTGTCAGATTTGGGACGGAAATAAATACTCATGAGTGAGCACTGATTTTCTAACCAACTAGAAAGATCTTTTAGGTCTGGCTTACTTAAAGATAATGATCTCACATGCTGAGTCCAATTATATTTGAGATTATAAGGTAGTTTGCCCATTAGTTCCATCAATAACTGAGGGTTTGTCATATAGTGCTCCAATTATAGGATTCAGCTGTTGTAGTAAAGTGGAGGACACAAGTAGAGAATTCTATGAGACCATTGATGTCTTCCTCCTTGACTGGAGGTAACATTCTGGTCTTCCTTTGCATTGATCCCAGAATCAATTCTGGCCTGCCAAACTGCATTTTTAAAGTGGAAATCACCGTATTCAAATTTTTTCCACAAACAAGTAAGGGCCTTACCATTTTGAAAGCCTCGCCTTCAAGTGAATTTCTTACTCTGATGAGGTTGACTTCCTCATCAAAGGAAGCCTTTGTCTTTTCATAAGCGGAATAGAATATAGGCCAATCCTCCGGTTTCCCGCCAAATGAAGGAAGGTGTTTGCGCAAGGATTGAATGGTATTTGACTTATCTGAATGATGGCTTGTCTAAAAGAATCCGCTAACTTCTCTACTGCTGAAGACACAATAGCTGATGATGACATTTGAACGACATTGGACTCTTGTTCTTTGTCATCAAGCCATTTTTCAACTTTGTTATGGGACTCTTCTTCTAAGTCATCATTTAAGCCTATAATAGATCTTACCTCTGAAAGTGAGTCTTGC